TTTACTGGAAAATATCTGTCACCACCAACATCATAATGTTATTTTTTTAACTAATAAATGAAATCCTTTTTCTAGTTTGATTGTTTTCCTTTTATAAGATTTTGTAGTTAATAAATGTGATTCAGTACAAACTAGCTTTTTAAATTTTTACTTAAATTAGGTTCAGAAGCTGCAGCTGCTACTGCCGTTATTATGATGAGAAAGTGTTGTGCAATTCAACGAACTTCTGATCCCATTGAATTCAAAGCTGATCGCCCATTTTTATTTTATATACGAGAAACTCAACAAAATCTCACATTATTTACCGGCAAATTTGTCACGTGCGCAAATTTATCGTCCTAATATACACTGCGATATTGATTTACCTAAGAAAAAGCTTTAATAAATTAGCTAAGAAAACATTTTCGTAGATAGAATTCATGCTCTTTATTTAACACAATTTATTTATAATGACCTTTTTTTATGCTTATATGAAAATATAATTGAAAATTTATAGATTTTTTCATTATACTTTTATATTATTTTATTAAGGATCAGAAGCAGCAGCTGCTACAGCAGTAATTATGACACGTTGTTGTGCATCAATATCTCCAAAAGTATCGCCTATTGAATTCAAAGCTGATCGACCATTTTTGTTCTTTATTCGTGAAAATCAACAAAATGTTGTATTATTCAGCGGACGATTTGTTTCACCACCAGCAACATCATAAATAAACTAATATCGTTCTTCTTATAGTTTGTATTCACACATTTATTTTAATTTTTATCTTAAGCTTATAAAATTTATCTGGCAAATTCTTCTCCTTTCGCTTTTACTCATATACGTATATTGTTTGTTAACATTTCAACATTGATGCTTTGATATGAACAATATTTTTAAATGATGTATTACTATTCTCAATAAAATATTTTTGAAACATTATATATTTATTAGAAAATATATTTCGTGAAATACTCGACAATTTACAAATCATAGATTATGTTAAAGTTGTATCTTTGTGATTCAAAATAAAAAAAATTCAAAATAATATTATTTCAATCTTTCGAAAAGAATAGTTTTCTTTAGTTAGCTATATACTTTAGATGATGATCGTATGCCTCCAATTATGTTTAAATTTAATAAAACAATATTATCTAAGAACCAGAGCAATGTTGTTTTTTCTATATAATTATATTACAACATATATCTATCATTGTTACTAAATTTTGTACATGAAATGTTGTACAATCCATTAATAATCAAAAATATTATAGACTAAGACCAGTGGGATAATATTACTGATATTAAATAATGCGATAAAATGAATCACCATACTTCATTAATTTATGATATTAGGAAATGAATATATCATTTACTAGAAAATTACATTTTTTGACGAGCCAAAACTTGATCGCTTATAAGTTTTTTTTTCATTTTAAAACAAAAGAGTACCTATAAAATAAGCTATCCTCTGTACATTATAACATATATGTTATTTTCTTGATATAATAAATGAAATGCGGAAAAAACTAGATGACCTTCGAGTTTCACTCAATTGTGAAATGCGATGCGAAACTTTAAGTTTCGAAAAATTGATAATTTGGAAAAATAAATAATCATCTCTGAGAATAAGCATAGAGGGTGTGGGTGTATTTTAATCATACACACACCCATATTCTCAAGATATCCACTTTCTAAAACACAACAATTAAACTGATTAAACTATTTAACAAAAAAAGAGTGCTTGGAAAAAATTGATTTGTTTCAACGCATTATTGAATTATTCATCTCTAATATTCACTTGAGAACAATTATTCATACGTTATCATTACATGTTGAGTTCGCTCTCATTCGAATACATGTGATTGGGAGCAACGAATGATTAATATTCTTCGCATCTTGTATTTATATCCATCTTTCTTCAATGAAAATATTCACTCAATTGTAGAAATAATAATCTATCTTTTATCAATTATGGGTCTTTTTCATCAACTGCCATATTATATCACTTTGAAATATTACTCCAACTTATATGTTATGTGGTGAATAATAATTTATTAAGAAATGTGAATGATTAAATAGTTTAATTATATATAAAAAAAATTATAATTGAGTTTAAAAAAAAAGAAAATGAATGTTATTCTGTGTATATCGATTAATAAAGCTCGGAACTATTGAGATAACCACTGCTGCCCAGTCCACCAGTAACCAGTACTTTTCCATTTGCTAATATGGATGCTGTGTGATATTGTCGTGTGGCACTCATGTTTCCTGTAGTTGTCCAAGTGCCTGTTGATGGATTGTACAATTCAGCACTATTGAGATGACCACTGTTGCCCACGCCACCAGCAACTAATACTAATCCATTTGTTAATGTGGATGCTGCGTGATATAGTCGTGCGGCACTCATGTTTCTTGTAGTTGTCCAATTGCCTGTTGATGGATTGTATAATTCAGGACTATTGAGATAAGCACTGTTGTATCCACCAGTAACTAACACTAATCCATTTGCTAATGTGGATGCTGTGTGATAATCTCGTGTTGTACTCATGTTTCCTGTGGTTGTCCAAGTGCCTGTTGATGTATTGTATAATTCAGCAGTATTGAGATAACCATTGCTGCCCAGTCCACCAGCAATTAATACTAATCCATTTGCTAATGTGGATGCTGTGTGAAGGTGTCGTGCGACGTTCATGCTTCCTGTAGTTGCCCAAGTATCTGTTGATGTATTGTATAATTCAGCAGTATTGAGCTCACCAGCACTGTTGGTTCCACCAGTGACTAATACTAATCCATTTGCTAATGTGGATGCTGTGTGATAATATCGTGCGATACTCATGCTGCCTGTAGTTGTCCAAGTGCCTGTTGATAGATTGTATAATTCCGCATTACTGAGATAACCACTGTTGCCCAGTCCACCAGCAACTAATACTAATCCATTTGCTAATATGGATGCGATGTGAGAGCTCCGTGCAAAACTCATATTGCCTGTGGTTGCCCAAGTACCTGTTGATGGATTGTATAATTCAGCACTGTTGAAAGAATTACCACCGCTGTTTCCACCAGTAACTAATACTGATCCATTTGCTAATGTAGATGATGTGTGATATCCTCGTGCGATACTCATGCTTCCTGTACTTATCCATCCTAAATAGCATAGAGAAATGGAAACATATTAATTCAGTCATATACAGAAGTTGTTTATATACTGTTTGCGAACTCAATGATTTTGAGACGTTGATAAACTTCTTTGCTCTCATGAAAAGAATAAGGGTGTGGGTGT